ATAAAATAAGACTATTAAAAAGGGTAAAAAGGCCTGGCCCTGTTGTATATTTATCCTTTACTGTAAATATACAACAGGAGGTTTTTATCACTGGACTCAACGACTTTGGAACCCAGATTCAAGGTAGTCTTCCTTGGAATATCTCTCCAAGGATATATATATACTAGGAAAATGATTAATGGTGGTTGGTTCTAAAGAGAACTAATTAGCCAGCAGACAAGAAAGGGAGAGACTTACTTTTTCACTATTTAATCCTTTTGTCCTCTTGTAATTAAGTAAAATTATTACTTCTTTTTTTTAAAAGATTTTATTTATCTTTAGAGGGGAAGGGAAGGAGAAAGGGAGAGAAATATCAATGTGTGGTTGCCTCTCGTGTGTCCCCTTGCTGGCAACTGGCCCGTAACCCAGGCATGTGCCCTGACTGGGAATCAAACCGCGATCCTTTGGTTGGCGGGCCCACACTCAATCCACTGAGAATTATTACTTCTTAAATATAGCAAGCCTTCTAGTACCTAAAAGCACTATACTTAATATTTTATTTTCTAGATCTTCTGGGGAGACCTTACATTCTTCCCAGAAGAAAAACCTTTAAATTTATATTATCAGTAGCAGGATCCACAACTGCCCAGGATTTATCTACTTATGACAATATGTATGATCATCATCTATTTTACTGTGAATGCAAAAGTACTCATTTTTGCCCTGGCCCAGTGGCTCAGTTACTTGGAGCGACGTCCCACACACCAGAAGTTTGTGGGTTAAATTCTCGGTCAGGACACATACCTGGGTTGCAGGTTTGAATCCCCATTTGGGGCGTGAGAAGGAGGCAACCAATCGATGTTTCTCTCTTTCATCAACGAACATTTCTTCAGGTGAGAATTTTTTTAAAAAGTACTTATTTTTAACATTAAATTTAACTCAATGACATATCAGAAATAAAGCAAAACTAATGCCAAACCTGAATTTTACTTTCTAGAGCACTACCTTAGATTCAGGCATTAATTAGAAGCATATTAGTTTCACAGAAAATGTCTGTCTTAATTTCAAAAAGACTAGCAAGCCCTGGCCAGGTAGCTCTGTTGTTTACAGCATCATCCTATTCCCAGTCAGGGCACATGGAAGAATCAACAACCAATGGACACATAAGTGAAACATCAAACTGATGTTTTGTGCGTGATCTCTCTCTCTCTCTCTCAAATCAACTAAAAAAGATGACTAGGAAAACTGGTACAAAAAAATGGAGAGCCATGAACAATACTAAGTTAAAGGAGAAAAACACAACAAACTATTATGTGAAAAGCCCTGTGCTAGGGATTTCACAAGTATTATCCCACTGTATCTTCATAAAAACTTGTGCCCACAAAAACCTGTGCCCAAGTCTATCCCATTACGAAATTTCTACCATACCATTTGCCTTTCCTGACTAAACAGACATAAAACTACTAATACAAGCTAATCAGGCAAAAATCGTATCTGAACACACCGACTAGGTAACTTGTTTTACTTGACATAACTAAGGACGATTTGCTACTATCTCATGAAATCGAGTTTGTATGGGAGATTTTCACCAATATTCAAAATAAACACATCATCTTGTTTTTCCCCTGACTTATTTGTTGGGTGTTTCAAAGAATTTAAAAAGAGTCTACAAAATCAGTCATAGTTTCATACAATAAAGTCCCAAAACACAGTTCTAAATGAGGCATTTAATAATGACAGCACAGACTAGTCCACTTTTCTTGAAACACTTTTCACATATATTCTTTCCTTTACTTCTCACAGGGAGCCCACCAAAAATAAGATTACTGCCATTTCAGAGGTAGAAAGTAAGGGTCTGAGACGCTAAATTACATAAGTGTCCAAAAATCTGAACTTGGTTGGGTCTGATGCCACAGCCCCTTCTTTCTATCACACCAAGCTACTGTTCTGATTTAAAGGAATCCCAAGATAATCTTCCTTGTGAAGATAAGCACATATGGCTGTAGACAAAGAAAGAAAACTAAAGCTTAAAAAAAGTCAAAAACTTAATCAAATGTCTATTTTTAGATAGACAAATTATTGATAAGCTACAGAAAACAGGGTTGAACATTCCAATTTGAAACACTCTTGTATCTTCACTTAGTAAACAAAAAATATAAATCTCATCTGACTTTAATATCCCCTTTTTAAAAATTACATCACATCAGCCCTGGCTGGTGTGGCTCAATGATGGACTGAGCGCCGCCTGCAAACCAAGGGGTCGCAGGTTTGATTCCCAGACCAGGCACATGCCTGGGTTATAGGCAGGGTCCCTGATGAAAGGCATCCAGAGGTGGCCATGCACTGATGTTTCTCTCCCATCCTTTCTCTCTACTCTCCCCTCTCTCTAAAAATAAGTAAATAAAATCTTTTTAAAAAAAATTACATCACATCAAATATGAATAAAGCCTACAAGGGAAAATGCAAAGAATAATAATATTAGGATGGTAGGTAAAAATGAGTTTTACATTTTAAAAACTTCCTTTAAAATATTTAATACAGTAACATTTTTTTTAATGCCATTAAAAATACCTCTACTACATTTTAGTACTTAATAGGAGATATGAAATGACAACTGATTTTACTGGCAAACTGACTTACTTTTTAAAATACCAAAAGTAATTCCCAAGTTAATGAAGAGCCTCTAATGAAATTCATGGCTACTCAAAAATCTACCTCACTTCTCTATGAATCAAGTGTCGAGAGGGGCTAAATCATAATATACTCAAATTTTGTTACTACAAAAGCTAGTTGAAATTTTTGGGCCACTAACAGATTGTGATTCAGAAATTTTCTATGTAAGGATTTTTATTCTTTTAATCAGACTTACAACGAAGAGTTATTAATTATTTATTTATTAATTCATCCTCAGTAATTACTCATTCAAAAAGGAAGACAATTAAAACTATTTTATTGATTTAGTGAGTAATACAGCCTTTATTCCCACCTCAAAGAAGTTAAGATTATACCAAACCTTATGTCAACATCTCAAACATTCTACTATCTACCTCAAAATGGTATTAAAACAAATATCTGAGTTTTCAATTACTTAGTATTGGAATTCAAAATTGTAAATAGCATATAAAATAAACAGTAAAAAACAAGGGTGTTCAGCATTCAGAAGAATGGTTACTAGGCAAGTATCACATTAAGTGGAAAAACCTGGCATTAATGGCTAATCTAGTAATGAATTCTCTTTTACATTTTTGCACAAATTCTACATTGTAAACTCTGAATAAAATTGTTTAAACTCTCCAAACTTCAAAATGTTTGTACTATTCCAAAAAGTATGTCATATGGGTAGCATCCAATTCACACACTCCAGTGTGAAATTTACAAGTTGACATCCTATGCAAAAGTAGAGTACTATGACTTTAGTACCTATGAAAATATGGGCAGTTATAAATAAGTTCATTATCATGTATATTTTCACATCAATTTCAAGTCAATTTCTTGGTACAGATATAGCTACACTTGAAGTATCCGTATTTTCCCAGTTTGTAACATATTTTGAAAATGAATTAACCAAGCTATGTGTTAAAATTGTATGCCTACTAATCCCTGTTCATTCAGCAAACACATACTTGCATCATCACAATTATCATTACTTGACTTCGCAGCAAAGTGTAAGGCAAAACTGGAGAAACGTTTTAAAAGAGTTTAAAAAGCTCTAAAGAAAATTCTTCACAAACTGAAGTCAGCAAATGGTTGAAAACAGATGTCACTACAGTAATCCCAAAGGAAGATGATGAAGTGGTGTACTTACGTTTCAAAACAACGATCCACGTTGTCAGACATCAAAAGCAGCATGCATAGCTGTTCAAGGGCTATTAGTTGCATGTCCCTTTCATCTCCCTGTCCCATCTGTAGCCATTCCAGCAATGTATCTGGATCCACATCTGCCATGTTTTTTCAAAAGCCTCTTTGCTTAAAAAAGTAAAGGGGAAAAATTCCTTTAAATGTCCAGGACTGATCAGCTTGGGTAAAATTTTTTCACATAGGCTGGAAACCAATTTTCGTGGTGTCCTCCTACGAATTAGAAAAGACTCATTAAGTATATTTCTGGGTATAGTGCTTAATGCAGTTTTTCAGCGGTCCTTATTCCTCGGGGTTAATGTTCACACATAATACTAAATAAAAACCAGTTTTTCACAAGAGTATAAGCTGATTAGGCTGCTGCTTAACTGGAAACCGGAGCTCTTTGTCAAAGACAGTGAAACAACCTTCGGGTTCCACTACTGCTATCACTAACGTCTGTGCCAAAAAGCAAAGAACACCTTACTAAAGGTTCTTTTTTTTTTTTTTCCAGCAAACTTCTTCCCCTTCCTCCACCCAAAACTGATATTCAGATAAGGGTTAGATTCAGACTCTAAGCACTTTGATCCAATCCCCTCCAAATTAGGTTTCTGCTTTAAAAGCACCTCTAAATTCACAAGTTTTGCTGACTTCTCAATTTACTCACTCTTATTTTTAAGATGTCTAAATACAAACGATAATTAGATACAAGATCTGTCTACGAATAAAGACTTGGTAAGGAATGTTGATAATCTTGTCAACTGTTCTCAAGAGTTCAAAAAGAAATGCCAAAAGCAATAGACTAAAACATCACGGATCAGAATTCAGAATATAGGCCAATCTAAAGGCCCTCCTTCCCCATCCCCACAGAATGGAGCAGTTAGTTAAAAATACACACAACTAAGAACCAGCTTCAACAGGCAAGTCATTACCAAACCTTATCAGCCCCTGGTGGGGAAAAAAGCTCTGGGTCCCTCGAACCCAGCTGCAGGTGTGTGAATCCAGAGGCGGGCCCCGGTGAGCACGCAACGGCGGACACCAGCAAAAATGACCCAACAACACTCGGGCCCTGCAGAGCCCCGAGGGGCGAAAGCACCGGCTTCAGTTTCCAGGCACCAAACCTCCGTAAGTTAGCTACGGGTGACCAGGGGGAGGGGGAAGTCCTGGAGGAGAAGCCGCAAGCCTCCATGCCCGAGAGGAGGCCGCTGGACTGGACGGCGGGTCTCCAGGGAACAGCGCCCGGAACTCGCGAGGCCCGGCGGATCGTTCCTGCCTTAGCCGGGCAGCGAACCCTTCTGAAGGGCAAGGATGGGGAGGCCGCCCTGGGCTCTGGGTCCGGCAGCCGGGCCCCGCCGCCGGAGGAAAACAAAGGGGTTAAGCCGGTTTACAAACTGAAGCATCTCCATGGATCTCACCAGAGGCTGGAGTCTCGCTCCCGGCCCGTTGCCCGGCATCCAGACCTCGGCCCCCAGGCCTGGCCCTTCCGACCGCCCAAAGCGCTCCCACCTCTCCGTCCCTCTGCTCTTACCCGGTCTCGTCTTCCCAAACCGCTCCAGCCCAGCTCCAAAGCAGGCCGCGGGCAGAGCCAGGCCCGGCCGCGGCCCTGGAGTTCCTAGGAAGCCACAGGCCGCGCAGGTCGAGCCCGGCAGGCGACACAGGAAAAGACGCGCTTCGCCCCTCCCCTTCCTCCTCGGGGTCCTGGTGACAGAGAAGCGAGAGGTTCCCTGGACTTCCCGTCCGGGGCACGCGGCTCCACAGGCCCCGCAACTCAGAGGCCCGCGCGGGGCTGCCGACGGCGGTGGGGGGAGGCCGCGTCCATCGTGATCCCGGACGGGGAAGGGAGGAGGGTCGGGGAAAGCTGGGCGGAGAGGCCGAGGAGGGCAGTCGAGCTCGGCAGGGGCGGAGCAAATAGGCTCTACTGGCAGACACCCGGCTGCCCGCCACGTGGGGCGCTGCGGAGACTCGTAGGCGAGCCGCGCCGGGGCGCCAGGCCGGAGGCGTCGCTTCCCGGCCGGGGCCTTCGGGCCTCCCGGGGCTCCGACTCCCTCGGCCCCGCGGGGTGTCGCTTTTCTATCTTACGTCCTGACGCCTTACGCTTTGCTGTCACTGCCGGCGCGCTGCCAACACCTCGCACACTGGTGCACGCAAGCCCAGTTGACTATACATTTAGCGTTGCTCCTGCTGAGGGCTCCACGCTGCACATCAAAGCTGAGGCCCAACCTGTGTTTGTCGAGTCTCCCACCCCGGCGACTCAGACTCACCCACGAGACTCGCCTCCTCCCCGATGGTCGCTCCTTCTCGTGCACGGAAGTGCGTCTCGGGAGGAAAAGAGTCTCTCTTCGGTCCTTGGAGACAAGTCACCCGTCAGAACAACCAGAAAGAAAATCTTGCACCACAACCCTGGAAAGTAAATACGAATATTATCTCTATTATATAGATGTGAGAATTGAGGCTCAAAAAGCACACATTCAGGCCCAATGGCGTTCCAGTGAGCAGTAGTACCAAAAGTGTGCTTTGGAGTCTTTCCTGCGGGTGGTGGTCTCAAGTATGTTCGTGGTTATACCCCTTAAACGTTCCCTTAAACGTTTTCTTTCACATGTACTGAAAATGAAATATTCTTGCTTATAGGACATACTTGGAAGCATTTAGAATGTAATTAATTGGAAACGTGAATATCGCTTTTGCTTTAAGTCAAGGAATGAATCCCTGGGTTTGTGAGATAAATCTATGCCATAGGCACTCCCACTGTACGTTTTTCATCTTTTTTTAAAGATTTTATTTATTTATCTTTAGAGGGGAAGGGAAGGAGAGAGGGAGAGAAATATCAATGTATGGTTGCCTCTTATGTGTCCCCTGCTGGGAACTGGCCTGCAAAACCCAGGTTATGTGCCCTGACTGGGAATTAAACTGCGATACTGTGGTTCCCAGGCCTGGGCTCAATCCACTGAGCTACACCAGCCAGGGCTTACGTTTTCATCTTAAAATAAAAGTGAATATTACATTGTATTTGAGACGTGTTTCATTAAGAAATCAGAGAAGCTTCTTCATAAAGTTGAAGAAACAGCATTTTGGAAATTACAAATTTTTATTTCAGGTATGTTTAAGCATGTATCCCCGTCTCAGATAATGGTCCTTAGGTCTCCTGTTAACAAATCAAGAGAAAAGGGTAGTGGATTCCACTATCTTGTTCCAACTTCAGGACGTTAGAATAATTTTTTGGAGCTATGAATGTGACTTGGAACTGCCAGGAAAATCTTGAAGAAGGAAGTGGCATTCTTTCTGGACCTTGAAGACGGGGTAGAAAGTGGACACGGCAAGGGAAGGAAAAGATTACAGGCAAAGCTCGGTATGTTCTGAGATAAATGAAAGAGGATCTGTGCCTCATGTAAAGAACAGCAAAGAGGAGAGAGGGTCAGGGCTAAAGTATGCAGGGCCTTGAATGTGGGGACAGGCAAAATTTAGGCTGTGGTAACTAACAAGTTCTGGTCTAGAACATTGACTGGAAAAATTAGAGTCTTAGAGAAATTGACTTATAGGGCAAGTGTGTCCAGAATAGCTAAATGGAGTTACCTGCAAAGAGATTACCTGGAAGGTTGCTGAAATCCTCCAGCAGTGCAGAAAGGAAGGGCCTAGGTATTGGCAATAACAACGGAGAGGAGTGCTTGCTTCAGCAGCACATACACTAAAAAACAATAAACTAAAATTGGAACAGTGCAGTAAAGATTAGCATGCCCCCTGCACACCAATTCATGAAGTGTTCCATAAAAAAGAATAAAAACAAAAAGAATGGAGAAGAAACAAATCTTTAAAATACTTTAAAAAGTATATTGGAATTTAAATGATTAACTTCAATTTATTTTTTAACCTACAGGGAGAAGCTAGCAAAATGATGATGCTCTTAACAGAAAATAGAACAGAAAAAGACTACTCTTCACTAACTTTTTAAGGTATATTTTCCTTTGTTCCCCCAACATCGGCATCCCTACTTCTTACCACCAAAATTAATGACCATAATATGCTTCAAAGAAATATTATTATTATTTTAAATGGTGTGGCCCTAACTGGTGTGGCTCAGTGGACTGAGTGAGCCAATTGGATTCTCCAGACAGAGCACATGCCTGGGTTTCCAGCCAGGTCTGCAGTTGGGGGGCTTGGGAGAGACAATGGATCCTGATGTCTCTTTCAAGTTTCACACATTGATGTTCTCTCTCCCTCTCTTTTGCCCTCTCTTTCCCTCTCTCTAAAAATAAATAAATAAAAATCTTTTAAAAATATGGACACTTATTTTTTAAGTGCTATAGCTTTAATAGTGCTTTGATTATTATAACATTTTAAATTCAAATATGAGGTCCCAGAACAAGAGTATTAAAAGACAGGAACAAAATCACCCTGACCACTGTGGTTCAGATGTTTGGAACATTGTCCTATAATTGACAGGTTGCAGATTCAGTTCCCCATCAATGTGCATAGCAGAGGCAGCTGATTCTCACATATCTCTCTCTCTCTCTCTCTTTCTTTTTCTTTCTCTCCCCTTCCCTTCCCTTCTCTCTAAGCATGTACTCTTGTGAGAATTAAAAATAATAAAAAATAAAATTAAAAAAATTTAAAAGAACCAATGAATGTGTAAATAACTGTAACAAACTGATGTTTGTCTCTCTTCCTCTTTCTCTCTACAATCAATAAATTATATATATATAACTGTAGTTTTGATAGGGGAACTCAAGAGTTAAACATATTAGCTTCAGTCATAGTTGATAGACTTAAATGATTAATGCATTCGGAAAGCTGTTATTCCAGGAAGTGAAATGTTTGACTCCATGCAGTATATAAGCATCATTAACTTGGACTAAGTGAACTTGTGTGAATGGGTTGTTCAAGACATCTACCTTACTGCAGAATGTTAACACTTTGTACATAAAAAGAGCTAGATATTAAAAACTGTAGTTTTCAGTGTACAAGTCTGTGCTTCTTTTGTTAAATCATGGAGACATTTTCATGTGTACTTGAGAAGAATGTGGGTTCTGCTTTTGTTAAGTGACTGTGTTAGGTCTAGTTGCTTTAAAGTATTGTTCAAATCTTCTGTTTCCTGTTGAACATCTATCTGATTGTTCTAGCTATCATTGAAAGTAGAGTATTGAAGTCTGTAACTATTATTATTCAATTGTCTGTTCTTCCCTGCAATTTTATTAGTTTGTACTTCATGTATTTTGGGCCTCTGTTGTTAGGTATGTTTATAGTAATTATGTCTCCCTGACATGTTGACCCTTTTGTCTTTATAATATATCATTTTTTGGCTCTAGAAACAATTTTTTTCTTAAAAATCTATTTTTGCCCTGGCTGGTGTAGCTCAGTGGATTGAGCGCATGCCTGTGAACCAAACAACCATGGTTCAATTCCCAATCAGGGCACATGCCTGGGTTGCAGGCCAGTCCCCAGCAGGGGACACACAAGAGGCAACCATACATTGATATTTCTCTCCCTCTCTCCTTCCCTTCCCCTCTAAAGATAAATAAATTAAATATTTAAAAATATATTTTTTGTCTAATATTAACATAATTACTCCAGCTCTCTGACTTTTGATTGGAGTGTTTAGTCAATTTACAATTAATGTAATTATTGATAATTTTTTATCTTATTTTTTTATTTGTTTTCTGTGTGTCTTATGTCTATTTTGTTCTTCTAATTCACATTACTTTTTACTTTTGTGTTAAACAGTTTTCTGTTATATCCTTTTAAGTTTTTTGTCTTTTCTTTTTCTATATATTTTTTAAAGATTTCATTTATTTATTTATTTATTTATTTATAGAGAGGGGAAGGAAGGGAGAAAGAGAGGAAGACAAACATGTCCTAGAAAAACATCAATTCATTGCCTCTCACACACCCCCAACTGGGGACCTGGCCTGGGAATTAAACCTGCAACATTTCAGTTTACACTCAGTCTACTGAGCCACCCCAGCCAGGGCTCTTTTTCTGTATGTTTTTGAGTTTTTACTGCTTGTTCTGGGGATTACAATTAATGTCATTGAAAGGTTTTCTTAGGCTCTGCCAAGAAAGAAATGCCAATCAGCCACAAAGTCAGGCAGTATAGAGCTTTATTGAGGTTTGCGCACCCCGCGAGAGGGCGAGATTCTAAGGTCTGCAAAGTGTTGGGCCGGAGAAGTTGCCCCTCCGCCCCCCCACGCCCCAGCAGGGAAAGGGGGGTGTGTGTTTATTTTCCTTGGCTCTCTGTGGGAGCTGGGCATTGGTCCCCTTTGAACAAAGCGGCAATATATCATTGGTGGTTTTCCTCGGGCTCAGGTTGCTATGCATATATCCATTTTGGCAAAGCCCGCCCTTTTCGGCTCTCTGGTTTGACGTCAGCTGTCTTTTCCAGGTTGTAGTCCAGCCGTCATTTTGTCCTAACCCTACCGTCCTGACAGTCATAACTTTTAAAAAATAAAATTTTGATTAGTATCAACTGAATTTCAGTTGTATACAAATTTTTACTTTAATACAGCTCTATTTTCTCCCCCCTCTTAGTGCTATTATTGGCACAAAAATCACATCTTTATACACTGTATATCCTCAACTCAGTTTTATAATCAGTGCTTTATGCAATTGTTTCTTAAGTCAGACACAGGAATAAAAGAGTTATGAACAAAAAGACATTTATACTATCTCATCTATATATACTTTTAGCAGTGCTCTTTACCTCATATTGTCTTATTTTAGGCTATTAAAATTTTTCAAAATATGCAGTTTACATCTGCTGTTTCCCTTATATTTCTCCCCCTTTCAATATTTTTTTGCACTGTAATTATCTAAAGTAATGTCATTTAGTGGAAAGACTGAGTTCGTAACCAAAAGTCCCAGCATCTACTAATGCCTTTCAGTCCATTGACTGATTTTATGATCTGGATTAAGCTGTTTAGTCACTATCTGGGCTTCAGTTTTCTTAACTCAAAAGTAAAGAGAATAGCATCTGGCCGTATTTGATCGCTAATTTCAAATACCACTCTCTCAAGTGTAGGTCCTACCACAGACAAGAGAAGTTCCCTTATAATTCTAGGCTAGCAGCTAATGCCCAGAAATGAGGTCAAAACCTTTATAATAGTATAGATGAGTTTTGCAACAATGGAAAGAAAACGACTAAAAATAAATGAGAAATTATCAAAGCTACTTCAGATCCTCTATTGCTACTTGCAAAATGCTTTTCAAAAAAATTCTTCAAGTTGCACATTGCTTTCTAGGTACATGTCTATAAAGAAAATATAATTAAAAGAATAATCTCATGAGTGCTCCCAACAATATCATAAGTACCTGTTCCTCAGGGAAATTTGGTTTAAAAATCTAGTCATAGCTAAGCATAGGGATAGAGGTTAGGAATACCGGAGTCAGCTAGCTATTTGAAATGATTTTGTGGCAGGGGAAGGAATACCTGAGTTTTCAGAATAGATTTACTATGTTGTTTTTATCTCTTGATTCCTTGGGTATAAGTTCTACCCTTCCTATCACTTGTTTTGTTTTGTTTTGTTTTGTTTTGTTTTGAGGTAAGAAAATAATCATTTTTACCTTGGAAGTGATTTTGAATAAGCCAGGTCTCAGTTTTAAAGTACCAGAATCACCATCATTACAGTATGCAAGCTAGTGACCCATAAAATCTATTTTGGCTATTTTCCCTGACCCCACTGAAAATAAGTAATAATAACTGTGGTAAAATGAGGTGAAAAATAATTTCTGTACACCTATGGGCCAGGTATGAAATTCTTCATCACAGACGTTTAATTTTAGGATTGAATTTTATCAGGGATACCTAGGACAGTAAGACAGCTGTTGGTGATTCATTGAACAGAAAGTGAATTTTGCTTTTTGCCCTTTCTGGAAACAAGTCCACATTGGAGATAACTTTTGCACTAGGGTTCTATTGGTTGACAAGTTTCTGACCACAGTGATTCCTGAATATTAATGAAAAAACAAGTCGAAGTAGATGATCTAGTTAGTAGGCATTGGTATGATTCAGACTTATTATATGAAGGTTTTCATTCTAAGAAGCTTATTTTGTCCTCAATCTTAAGAAGATTGAGTGGACTGCAATTCTGCTAATAATTGCATAACTTTCCAATGATCCTGCTAGCCGTTGCCTTACTCTCTTGCACTCTTTGTAACCAAGTAAAAATAAAATATATTTTGGTCTTCTTTCACACACACACACAAAAAAGCTTTAGGTGGGTACTCTAGTTTTCTTTAGCTGCAGAAACCTATGTCCTTTCATCATTTGTCTGCAATCTTATTAGCAAACAAAATGTTTATATCAGCCTCACTTTCACACTATGTGCATGGGAGATGAAAGACTCTAAAAATAACTGATCTAGATCAGCAAATAGACTGAATTACATATGCTACATATTCTCACAGATTTAATGATCTGGGCAAGATAATATTTACTCTCAGAACAAATCACAGTTAAAATTCTTATTCTCTTTTCCTTCAGCATTTTTCTTCTTTCTTTCTAACCTGGGTATGGCTGCTATCTTTTTTTCTTTATTTTTAAAGACGCAGCTTGCAGTTTCAAGAAACAATGCATAGAACCTTTTTTAAATAGCTTTTTCTTTTGCCAAACACAATATATTCTCTATTGGGATATAAATGAAATTATAACAGAGTTTTTAATGATAGGACAATCGCCTTTTGCCATTTGACCTATTTTAGGCACTGAAAAAAATGTTCATGCCTCAGTGATTTTCTTATTTCTTATTGATGGATTAATAGAAACATCTTAAGAATGTTAATTCATGCCCTGGCTGGTGAGCACCAGCCAGCGAACCAAAGGTTTGCTTGCTGGTTTGATTCCCAGTCAGAGCATGTGCCTGGGTTGTGGGCCAGGTCCCCAGTAGAGGACATGCAAGAGGCAACCACACATTGATGTTTCTCTTCTTCACTTTCTTCCTACCTTACCCTCTCTCTAAAA